TGTAGGGGACAGGGCCAGCTGGGGAATGTGAACCTCTAATTGTCAGTTAAGGGTGACAGAGACACAGGGAGAAGCAGGCACCCAGAACAAAGGGTAGGCTTTCTGGATTAGTAGAGCTTGCCGGAGGGCAGACCGGGAAGGTAGTTTCCCACAGCTAGCAGTGATTTTTTTTCCACAGTATTATCAGGAAAAGCGTTCTTTGTTTGAGGATAGCTTACCTAGTGTCAACCTCTGTAGCAGGGAAGTCAGGGCCAAAACATTTAAGTCCCAGCAAGCCCCTCATGGTTGGGAGGGACAACTCTCAGAGAGAGGCTGGATGGTGGCCCAGATGCAGTCTAGCTTCCTACAGATTTAAATGTTAAACCTAAAACCATGAAAATTCAGGAGCAAAATATGGGATAATTTTATAACATGGAATTGAGGAAGGTGTTCCCAACAAACACAAACACAGAAGCCGTGATGTAAAAGATTAATTAATTTAATGAGGAAAAAAATGTAAATTTATGTATTGCAAAACAGTCCAAAACTAAGTTTAAAAACATGACAGATTGGGAGTAATTATTTATAAAATATATGTGATATATACAGTTTAAGCCCAGCACACCTAAAAACAAATGACTTAATAAAAAATAAAGACTACAGATAGGTAAATCACAAAAGAAATGGCTGAGGAACTTAAAAAGATATTTAAAACCCCTGCTATAAAAAATTATGAAAAAATCCAATGAACAAGTATAATGTTTTCACCTACCAGACTGAAAAAATTAAAAAAGTTTGATAACCTGTGTGAGAGTAGAATGTTTGTATTTGTGCACCCTTATATTTTACAAATAGACTTGAAGTTGGGCAACTATCGTGGAGGGTAATTTCACTGTATGTATTAACACCTGAGTTATTTGTTTTCTTCATCAAAAATGTAAGATCCATGAAGGTGGCAAGGAACTTATCTGTGATAATCACTATTATGTTGCCAGTGCCTGCGAGAATTCATGGCATAATACACCTTTGATAAATATTTAACTCACTCAACGAAAGGTCACATTTCATTAGGCACAGAAATTCTGTTCTGGGGAAATCTATCATTAAAAAATACTTTTGGCCCTGTCCGGGTAGCTCAGTTGGTTAGAGCGTTGTCCCAATACACCAAGATTGTGGGTTTGATTCCCAGGCAGGGCACATAGGAGAATCAAGCAACAAATACATAAGTGGAACAACAAGTCAATGTCTCTCTCTCTCTCTAAAAATGAATCAACAAAATTTAAAAAAATGTGCTAAACAACCTTACTTTTAAAAAATACTCCCTCTCTAGCACACCCATGCCATTCTTCACCCTTTCTTTCTCAGGTATGCTTTTCCTCCCTAAGTTCTAAGTTCTAAGGATCCCCACAAACTTGGAACCAGGGCAGTGATGGGCAGCAGCAGCTTGTCCCAAGCTAACCCCTCACCTGTCTCCAAGGTCCCCTTTTTTCTGACTTTTCAGTACTCTAAGGGAAAAAAAAATGCTTTCATGAGCGTACAAAGATATCTCTATAAAAATATTTATTGAAGCCTTATATGAGGTAGTAAAAAGAAAGTTCCAAACAAACGTTCTCCAATAAGGGGATGCATGGAGGAAAAAAAATTCCATATGGAGTACTATGCAGCTAGTAAAAGGAATGCAGTAGAGCTGAACATATGTCTGATATTGCATCAAGTGAAAAAATAAACTGTGTAATAACAGATGGTGGGGAGAGAGAGAACTTCTAGGCTTCACTTCTTTGGTTTTCTTTTTCCTTTATCTATATATGTTTAAATAAAAATTATATGTATTTAAGGTGTATGATACTACGATTTGATAGACATTTTCCTAGTGAAGGGATTACTGCAGTCAAACTAATTAAAATATCTCCTCATATAGTTACCTTTTTGTGTGTGTGTGATGAGTGTACCTGAAATCTACTCTATTAGCATTTTTTAGTGCTCAATATAATAATATTAAGTGTAGTTAATCATTATGTCAGTACATTAGACCTCTTAACTTATTCATCCTACTTTAACTGCAACATTGTACCCTTTGACTAATATCTCCCCATATAAGTGAGATCATAGTATTTTTCTTTCTCTCTCTGGCTTATTTCATTTAGCATAATGTCCTCCAGGTTCATCCATGTTGCCACAAATGGCAGGATTTCTTTCTCATAGAGAAATAGCATCCATTCATCTGTCAATGGATGTTGGATTGTTTTCATATCTCGGCTATTGTGAATGATGCTCCAAAGAACACAGGAGTGCAAATATCTCTTTGTGACCCTGATTTTGTTTCCCCTGGATAAATACCCAGAATTGGGGTTGTTGGATCATGCGTTAGTACTATTTTTAATGTTTTCCATAATGACAGTGACTTTTTTGTTTTGTTTGAAATGTTTATAATGAGCACATATTAGAATGATAACTTTAAAAAGAATAAAGAAGCATAAATGTTATTTTAAAATACAAGACTAAAGAGCTCTGGCAGGGTAGCTCAGTTAGAATGTTGTCCCCACAGCCAGGGTTGAGGGTCGGATCAAGGCACAGATCAAGGCATGTCGGAGCCACATACAGGAGGCAACCAATGAATGCACAGATGAGTGGAGCAACAAAATCCATGTTTCTCTCTCTTTCTTCCCTTCCCCTCCTCTCTCTCTCAAATAAATTAAAAATTTTTTAAATAAATAAATAAAATGAAAGCCCTAAACAGCAATTTTTAGCTGCTGTCTACATCACCAGCACCTATTTTGGTTTTGTTTTTTGGGTTCTTATCCCTTCTCCCTTCTCTTCTTTATTAGCTTTCTCTATTCTTCTTCCTCTTCCTTTTAAATCCACAAGGATTAATTTTTTAAGGACATAAGGACTTTATTGAGTTTGCGCAGCCAGAGTCAAGGTTGTGGCTGCTTCAGCATGCCAACGGGGTATGACGCCGATGACGACGGGCTGTGTATACTTAGAGCTGACTGAGCCCCAGGCTCTGAGCAAAGCACCTTACATACTGTGTCTCCTTTAACCCTAGTAGAGGCTCTCCGAGGCGAGTCCAGTAAATGTGCCTTCCTCATAGGGGCCCTAGAACTTGGTGGTGCCAAACCGCTTGGGTTCAAATCCCAACTCTGCTATCAACTAGTTGTGTGATTTTAGTAACTCTTCACTCTTCTCTGTAAAATTATAGTAATAGCAACTCCCGCCTAGGGTTGTGGACAGGATGAAGTGAATTGTCACGTATCAGGCCTGCAGGGCAGTGCTTGGCACAAATTTATAAATGAGGAAATCGAGGCAAGCCGTCCGGGGCCCACGCCCGCATCCGTGGGCTCGGCTCCAGCGCCGGAGCCTCAGCGCCTGCCGGGTCCTCCCAGGCGGCCGCACTTGGGGAGTCAGTCTTTCCCTTGGACTCGGGGGCAGCATGGGGCTGTGGAGCTGGGAGAATTCCCCTTCCAGATCCTTCCTGTGTTTCTTCAGCTGTTGAGCACAGCCGTTGCCTCCTTAATGAAGCAGGAGACAGCCTTAAAAACTAGAAGCCAGTCCTCCACACTCCAAAATCCTCAGAGTTTTTATGCTGGTTGTAAAATGAATTTGCACAGGACCCCGCGCGGTTGCTCTCGGGGTCCTGCGCTTTGTGTGTGTGGGGGTGGGGGCGGCTCATTTCCTTCTCGGCCCGAGGCGACTGCGGCGCCTTCCTCTAAGCTCCCAGCGCCGGGAAGCAGGCCGCGCCGGGGCTGCGCAGGTCAGGCCCTGACCCGCCTGTTCCCACCCCCAGACCCTGGCCCTGCCGGGACGGCCTGGCGCGGAAAGAAGTGAAAGAGAGCTCCCTCTGCAAAGTTGCTTTGAAAAGCATGCTCTTAAAATAGTTTAATTGTTTTGCTTCAAAAAAATATTTACTACATGCTTATAGAAAAAGAGCAGTTGGGAAATCATTTCTTTGATTTTCTTTTCTTTTTTAAGTGAGGTCACGGAGGGGATGTGGTTAAACTCTGAGGCTTCCTATGGGCTGCCCCAACGCTTACTGCCCCACCCCCACCCCTGACCTCCTCGCTCCTCCACTGCCCCCCCTTCCCACCCCTTCACCAGGTGTGGCCAAGCTCTGGGACCGGGGTCGGGGGGCGGGGGGCGGGGGGCGACGGGCGGGGGGCGGGGGCGTTGGCGGCGGGGCGGTAAAGCCTGCAGCGAGGTAACAGTCACAACAGTCCAGAGGCCACTGGTTGAACTGGAACTGTTCCTATTCTTACCCAAAGGCCTTTTCACACCCAGAGCTTTCCAGGACTGGGGTCCTCCCCCACCCTCTTCTTCCTCCTCATCATTTTGCATAGGGATTTCATTCCTGGGGTTCGTATGTGTGCAGAATCTGTGTGTGCATTGGGGAAAGGAGCGTTGCTTCTAGTCAACTGAAGATAAAGCATAATAAGCCACAAAATCAAAACACATGCACAAAAAGACAGCTTTGAAAGCAATATTTATTCTGGTTTGGCTTTTGCTTGGAAAGGTAACACATGTTGTAGATGGCATGAAATGGAAAACACAAAATGAAAATGAAGCTACTCACCGCGCCAGAGGCCAGCCAACCTTTTTGTGAACAGCCTGTTTCTCCTTTCGGGCTACGGGACACCTGTGACGTTTATTTGCTCCGTGGGCTGGGTACACAGCCCACCTGTCACTTCACACCTATGAGATGAGGGGCCCCTCTCAATCCCTGACCCCCTGCAGGGTGGACCAGGCAGTGGACTTAATGTAACAGGTCTGGGGCGGTTCACCCCGGTGTTGGTGGAGCTAAGGCTGAGCCAGGACCAGAACCAGGACCAGTGCCAGGGCCAGTGTCAGCTTGTGACTCTGCTGTTGTGAACATTAAATTGACCAGATTCCATCTGGACTCCTTGACTCAGTGGAAAGGCTCCCAGAGAGCAGAGCATAGGCCTTGTTTACCTGCAGCTTCCTTTAAAATGTATTTATTCACTCACTTGTTAAAGATTAACTGATCACCCCCTCCGCTCAGGCCCTGGGGCTTCCCAGGCAGTCCAGGGACTCCAGACAACTCTCAGCCCACTGGGGAGAAGGGGAGGTAAGAGACAATGAATGTGACCAAGGGGCACCCTGGGAATGTAGGGACAGGGAGGTGAGAAAGGAGAGAAGAAAGAAGGGCATGTAGCAGAACCCCAGGATATGTGTAGACCATTTGAAAAACAATATGATATATTATAATAGCATTTTCATTTGCATAATCCGAAACAAAGACTTTTTTATTTTTAATGCAAACTATGGTAAGTAAAATGGTCAAGAAACCTAGCCTTGAGTTTATCACAAGCCTCCTCTTATCAGAGATCCCAAGCCTGGTCAGGGTGGGAGGGAGCCAGGCCTTGCCCCTTCTCAGAGGCGAATCAGGAAAGAGTGGTGTGACCTGTTTTTATTTACCTGAATGGGGAGGAGTTAAAAATTTAATACCTGAAGGATCGGGGAGGACCCTCCAGATTAGGAAACAGAGAATCTGGGCCCTGAGGGTCAAAGGGAGAGTTTAGCAAATCTGTGGCCACACAAGGAGCTGGAAGGAGTAGATATTTATTGAGAGGGACAATGGCTGGAGATGAAGCTAGGAGATTGGCACAGCTGACACCTAGGACCCTGAGCCCTTTCTGACCTCTGTCCCCAGGGCAATGGGAAGCTACAGAGAGTATTGGCTAGAGTTCTTTGGTTAAAGGCCACAGAATTCCACTCCAACTATTTTAAGAAAGACCAAGGGTTCTCTTAACAAGAGACAAACAACCAGGCCCAGGGAAGAAGAAGAGGGAGTCACAGCTCTAGGAATTTGTGTGCTAGCTCTAGGGACTAAGGACAGCTTCCTTTACTAGGCTCCCACCATGTGCCAAGAATTGCTCTCAGCCCTTCACATGTATGAGCCTACTTAATCCTCAAGTGGCAAGACCTCAGTTAGTGTGACCTGTTGTTCTGATCCCCATTGTGCAGATGAGGACACCAGGACCCAGTTACATGATTTGTCCAAAGTCACACCGTTTAATGAGTGGTGGAGTTGAAATTAAAATCTAAGCAGTACGCCTCTTGAGCTCACGCCTGAAACTCTACCCTATAAAGCTAACTCCCATGTGCATTGATTCAGCGTTTCTATGCATCTTCGCTCAAGATTAAAATTCATGGGAGAGGGAGCAGGCTCAGTGTGCAACTTGTGCTCATCTAGGGGTGGCCCATGGGGCCAGTTGCTGGCATTGTCAATTCTGCCACACCCATATGGTGGACGCCAGAGGAAAGATGACGCCGTGACTGGAAGAGGTCATGGATAGACAAATAGTCTATTTCTCTGCCATGGAAGGGATTTAAGGAGAGAAATGAGAAATAAGGTCAGATCTGTATTCTAGGAAGATCACTGGCTACCTGGTGGAGATTGTACTAGAGGGTCTTGCGTGGGGGCCAGGATCCCCAGTGGGGACCTTGGTGCAATCATCCTGTAGGAAATGCTGATGTGTATGAAGAAGGGAATGGTTAGGAAGATACAAAGGAAATGATTAATGGAACAGGGAAGTCCAAATGGAGAAGATTCAAGAGTAAACCTATAACTGTGGTTAGAGCAAGTCGGGTGATAGGGGTGCCAGAAGGAGCGGGTATGGTGGGAAGGTATGGACCATGCTGAATTCAAGCTATCTGTGGGCCGTCAAGGCAAGATGCTCAGGTGGCAGCTAGGTGTTTGGGTGAACCGGAGGATTCAAGTCTCTACAGGGCTGCCCCATACTCACAGGGTAACTTTTAGAGCAGAGGCTGACAAAGGTTTTCGTTAAAGGGCTAGATGCTACATGTTTTAGGCTTTGTAGGTCATATGGTCTTTGCTGAGACTACTTAACTCTGTTATTGGGGATAAAAGCAGCCACAGACAATACATGAACAAATGAGCATGACTGTGTCCCAGCAAAACTTTATTGATAGACATGAAATATGAATTTTAAATCATTTCTATGTGTCATAAATTGTATTCTTGTTTAGATTTTTTTCCCATTTAAAAAAGTTAAAACCAGCCCTGGCCAGGTAGCTCAGCTGGTTAGAGTATCGCCCTGATACACCAAGGTAGACCTGACTGTCTATCCCCAGTCAGGGCACATATAAGAAGCAACCAATTAATGCATAAATAAGTGGAACAACAAATTGATGTTTCTCTCTCTCTCTCTCTCTTTCTAATCAATAAGTTAAAAACATTAATAAAAATATTAAAACCATTCTTAGCTTGTCGGGATCATATAAAAACAGGGAGCAGGCCAAGAATTAGGTCTGCAGGCTATTCTTTGCTGATCCTTGTTTTTGTTTTTGTTTTTGTTTTTTAAAGATTTTACTTACTTATTTTTAGAGGTGGGAAGGTGGAGGAGAAAGAGAAGGAGAGAAATCAATGTGTGGTTGCTTCTCGTGTGCCCCATGCTGGGGACCTGGCCCACAACCCAGGTGTATGCCCTAGACTGGGAATCAAACTGGTGACCCTTTGGTTCATAGGCCAGTGCTCAATCTACTCCGCCACACCATCCAGGGCTACTGATCCCTGTTCTGAAGAATCAGGAAAAAGTTGCCTCATTCTCCAGTAAGGAATTTTTTAAGTTAGATGATTATTTCTCAATAATTACAATTATGACAGACATTAAGTCATTCTGTATAAATTACACAAATTAAAAATATTGAAAGTAAAATAATAGAAAATTATCACTGTTTGCAAATACAGGTGGGGTAAAAGTAGGTTTATAGTTGTGAGTACATGAAATAGAGTTTATTATGTATTAATTATTGTATTATTTTCCCTATGAACAACTGTAAACCTGCTTTTTCCCCATGCTGTATATTGCAACTTTTCAATGCTAATCATATTTGATTTTAGAAGTCAAATCAAGTAAGATTTTGTGATCTTAATACATTAATGTCCCATCAAAATCACTTCCTTTTCTGTTTGTAGTTGATTTCAATTGTAAATTTTTACAGAGTTGTATTGTCCCATATTTTTTATAATTCTTCAAATTAGATTTATTGTCTGGATTAGAACACTTTAAAAAGGCCATGATATTCTTGCAGTATCATAATTCTTTCATTTAAGGATGTTATTAGTGGGTCTAGTATAGCAAATTAAAATAAAATAATTTTGAAATTTAATTTTGGTTCTTAGAAATCACAATAAAACGAGTCTTCCTCCTTTTTCATTGCATTTTCTATATGAGTAATGGCATCAATGCTGAAATTCTGTCATTTGGCATCAATAACCTATTTTTCATAAATCTCGCTTCCTTTTTAAAACAAAGAATGCCTTAAGTTTTTCAGTGTTTTTAAGGACATTATATATACTAAATTTTTCATTCCTGTATGATTTATTTATAATATTTTACCTAAACATCATTTCATATTAGCCCTGAGCAAATACGTTTAAAAGCTGAAGTTTGCTAGACTGTTCTTGGCATGACAGAATCTATTGCTTCATCAATATAATTAACAGTTCCTAAAAAGGGTTTTGCATCTACCTTTTGAGTTTTTAGTAACATCATATACACTTGATTTTCTCATTGTCAGTTCAACATTTGAAAATTTGTGTTTAAAAATGTATGTTCAAGCCCTGGTTGGTGTGGTTCAGTGGGCTCACTGTGAACCAAAAGGTCGCTGGTTCAATTCCCAGTCAGGGCACATACCTGGGTTGCAGGCCTGGTCCCCAGCTGGGGTGTGCTAGAGGTAACCGATGGATGTATCTCTTGCACTCTGATGTTTCTCTCCCTCTTCCTCTTCCTTCCTTCCCATCTCTCTGAAAATAAATAATTAAGTAAGATCTTAAAAAAAGAAAAGAAAAAATATATGTTGAAAACACTCCAACCTTTCATCAAAATTAAAATTTTGCTGGGTAGTCCCTGGACAATATTTTTGTTTGTTTCTGGACAATATTTTAAAATTCAGTGCTGTAAAAAAAAAACTTTTTACCACATCATTTTCTATCAAGTTCAAAGAATACACAAAACCAAGATGAAAGATATTCCTAGAATTATTTTTCATGGATCTTTTGTTACAGTCCATTATAGTTTTTCATGTATTTTTGTTGCATTGTCATATTTCTGGCTCTTTTGGTTATTTTTTTCTAGATTCAGTTTTTGTAATATTTTACTGAGAAGGTAAAATCCTTCCCTGATCAAGTTACCTGCTAAACAAAATGCCCCAAGATATCACATATAGAAACATTTGCATTTTGGAAATCAACACATCTAAAATAACTGTTATGTATTCAACATAGCTTCCTCCTGGAATTGTATTTAAAATAAAGGAGTAATACCTAACATTTCTTATTTTATTTAACATGATCTCATTAATTGCATCTATCATTTTAATAATGTCTTTTAGTTTTAGTTTTGTCTTTTAGTCCTTAAACAATGTGTAATATTATTTTGTGTCAATGTTTATATTTTGCATAAATGTTCTGACACAATGATATAAAATCTATGCTATGATTCCTGCCAATAATGAACATTTCCCATTCACACTCATTAACTTTCTTGGATGAACTTAGCTAGATCCTCAGCAAAAAGTGAATCATAAGTATCACATGTTCAAAAATAGCACCCAATATTTTTTCTCATTTTCACATGGATATAATATATTTTTGGAATCAGATTTCAATTTAATTAGTGTGCATTTCACTTTTTTCATGATTATTAGAAATATGCAGTAAATGCTGCCAATCTTTGCTTTCATTCTCATTCTAGTGTTGATTTGATTTTTTTTCTAACCCCTAAGACTTTACAATGTAGGTAAAATATCTTTTGAGGTAGAATAAATAACCAGGATTTAGTATTTCTTTTCTCAATAACTATGAGTATTAAGTTTTAAAAACTTTCCATTTCTTTTGTTATCTGGAAACTTAACATCTCTTTTCAAAAAATTTTATTTATTTATTTATTTCTTCTCCTTCTTCTCCTTCCCCCTTCCCTCATCCTCCTTCTTCCCCCCTCCTCCCCTTCTTCTTCTTTTCTCTCTCTTTCTCTCTCTCTCTGTTGTTGTTTCTTGGAACTTAATATTTCTTACCTGACATAGATAATTTAAACCTGGGTT